ATAATAGCAAGAGATTCCACCTCTGTGGCATGTGAGCTCATGAGCTATGGCTTTACTGATAGATTTACAGTACTTGGCATGTGTTCCCTCCTGTGGAACATTCCTTAGATACAGTCAGATAGAAGTTAATTGCCCTCATCATATTTATGTTCTATATACACATATGATTGTATCTTTCCAAACAAACCATTGTTGTGATGTATAATGTCTCCAGTAGTTTCACCCTCCACAACCTGGTAGCACCTTCTAGTACTATGAAATATAGAGAGGAGGGAAGAAATTTCTCAGTTGGTATGAACTTGATTTCTCCATTTTCTGTTGTGAAGGTATTATAATCTTTAGTATTAGAGTTTCTGGAATGCCCCTGGCCAAAAACCCAGTGGATGTATCCCATTCCTGGTACCAGGTTTTTTATTTGACAATCTATGGCTTCTGGGAGGAACATTATTATCTTCTCTGTTGGGTAACTCCAATTGACCTCCTTACATATTATATAGTAAATTTTCTTTTTCTTTTTTTTTTTTCAAATATCCATGGTATTAATTACTTCTCATTCTACACCTCCTGTGCCCTACAAACTCATCCCATTTCTCTCCCCATTTAAGTCTCCCTTTTCATTATCATGACTTTCCCTCTTCATATCTTTTGTTCTCTGATTCCACCCTTCTCAAGTCCCCCCCAACTCCACCCAACCCCCACCCCCCGCACATCAACCTCTTCCTTGTTTCCTAGCTTTTTTCATCATGCATTCTAAGTTAAACACACAATCTAAAGTTTCAATCTTAAGATCTATATGTGAGTTGGAGCATTTGACATCCACATTCCAGAATCTGGGTTACCTCATACAGTATACTTTTTTCTACTTCTATATATTTACTTGCAAATTTCATAATTTCAGTTTTCTTTACAGCTAAATAAAATTGCATTGTATATGGGTCCCACATTTTCATTTCTCATTCATCAGCTAGTAGAGACTATTAACCATGCACAGCCATTGTAAGTAGATAAGATAATCATGAAACAGTATGTCTCTGTAGTGGGAAATGGAGCGGTGCCCTAGGTCACATGATATATCTAAATAGAACTTTTTATGAAAGCTCCACAATGATTTCCACAATAGTTGCATCAATTTGCACCTCAGCAACAGAGCATGGGCCCTTTTCTCAACATCATTACCAAACTGACATCATTTGTTTTCTTAATTTTAGGAGCTCAGATTGGGGGGTGTTGCTTTTCATTTTCATTTCCTAATAGCCAAAGATGCTGAACAGTTCTAAAAATGTTTCTTATTGATTTGTATTTCTTCTTTTTAGAAATATCTGCTCAGGGTCACGTCCTATTTTTAACTGTCATTTGTGAGAGTACACACTGATAGGATACACTGAACAAGCAAAGTCAGAGGAGCCTGAATTCAAAAACAGTCGGGGTTATACCTTGGTGGTTTAGAAAACATTCTTTAAAAATGTAAAATTCTCTCCACACTTTTTTTTAAATCTAAGATTCATAAATTTAAATTAAAAAGTAGTTCAAGTCAAAGGTTATATATACAAGAAATGATATTTGGAGTGAAAGCAGGAAATATGAATCTCAGGGAAAAAAACCAATATAAACTGCATATTATTCTTGAAAATGAACTTTACAAGCCAGGTCCCCTGATCTTACTGGTATTATTAACTCCTTTTATAAAAAAATGATTTATTCCAAGTGCCAGAGATGAAACTTAGCAAGCAATGTCAGACAGCTCAGGCAGAACACAGATCGCAAGGGAAAGGACCCTCTTTTACACTAGTTCTTATAGTCTATTCAGATATTACATTTTTGGGGGTATTACTATAGTCACACTCATATCAGAAATTCTGTTCTTCAAATACAAAGCCAGTATTTCTTTGGGAAACAACAAATATAATTATTGGAAGAATATTTTATTACTACCTAAAGTGACTCCTCCAGAACTATGCTTAGAGGGGAGTAGGAAATAATGTGGGTAAGACAGAGAAACGATCACACATTTGCCACTGGAGTGAAACAGCTGGTGGACTCAATGAGTCAAGCCACTGTTCGACTGTGACACAGCAGCTGAGCTATGAAGTTACATTCAAAAGTGCCATAGTTATGTTTGTTTCTCTCTCACTGTAGCAACATATTTATCACTTTTCATAACTGTCATAAGAGTTTAAAATGTTATAACGTGCATGCAGCTGAAAATGCACTTATGTAATCTCACACTGATACACAAGATCAACATTGTAAAGAAAAATCACTCAATCAACATATTCATAATGCATTTCAAAAGTCACTTTCTTCACGTTGTGCTCATGAATTATGCTTTGTTAAATAACTTAGTCTAAAGGGCAAAGATGTTAATTTCATTTGAAAATCACACCAAATGGTGAGAAAGCATTAGGATAATAACACCTTCCATGTATTTGTCACATTGGCTTCAAAGAAGAGTTACAAAAATCTCTTTCTTTTAAATTCATGAGTTGACAAAAATTCGTGTGAAATTAAAAATGTATCACCAAAATAATATGGCATTAAGTGAAGTGGAATGAATACTGAAGGCAGTTACTTCATCCAAAAGTTTTAGTAGGTGTGATTAATTAGACTTGAAGAATTTAGCTTATGTAAATAGGAATATTGGGGAATTATTTTTTTTTAAATGACAATAAATTTTGTGAGATTTTACTCTTTTCTAGTGCCTGTACAACTTTGGACCTAAAATAATACTCTTTTTTTTTTCTTATGAGCTAAAGGAAATTTTGAACCATTTTAAATAAAGTCAATGGAATGTGTATCTTACTTTGTTCTAAAAAAAAAATAGTGTAAAATTTGAATAGCACATTTGTCAGACATTTGAAAATTCCAATTCCACTCCTACATGATTCTTATACCACCAGTAAAATGCCATAATCATTAACTCTAAATTATCAGAAAAGTTTTTGATAGATAAAAAGTACTACTGATGGACTGAAACATTTTCATCACTAACTATATAATGTTGTTTTTTAAGTATACATAAAAAATCATGCATGAATGATTATTTAAGTTGTTTTAAAAGATAATTAACTATAACATTATGCCCACCTCAATGCAATTCATTTAACTCTACACGATAGTGTAGAGCTTATATGCAGGGTGGAAATTTAATAATAAAGTATGTGAAAGTCTCATGTTTCTTATTAAGTAAACAAGTCACATTTCCTTTATCTACAACAACATGTAAGTTGAGATCCTGCATATTCTTATATGAACAATTTTTTTTTCTTTTTTTTACTGCTGGTGATTTTAGCACTGTTTTTCCTTCAAGCTTTTCTTGATACAGCTGCAGAAATTATTGTAGTAAAATCAAATCTTTATGGAAGTCATTCCCCAGCTTGGAGATCTGTCTTGCCTGGACATGGGGTCCATACCTTAGAGCATTATGGAAGGTGCCTGAGACAATGTCTGAAGCCGAGGGTCAGCCACTTGGTATTGCCACTCACGCTTGACCTGTCAACCTGTGCCTCAAGCCTGGTGTGATTTTCAGCTGCATGTATTTGCCAGTGAGCTTCATCTCTTCTACTCCATTTTATTTTCAAAATGCCTAAGCACTTTATATGCCTGATTGATGTTTGTGATGGTACTGAATGAAAATGTAGTATATTTTTAAAAAGTGACTGCTATATGTGCAATAGATAACTTTTTTGTTATTGTTCATTTTTTGATATTGTAACTTAACTACAGTGTTTCCTCAAACACTACCTTATTGCCATCCCTTTTGTACTTTAATTTCAAGGCGTCATTTTTTATTGATTGTTATCACATACATATATGACTTTGTATATACATATATATTATTAAATATGACTTATGTCCACATGATGTTTTTTATGTATGTTTTTTTTTCAGGACATTCCCTTTCTCACTGTATAGCAATAGATCTTTCCTGGGAAGGACCTCCTCTCCTTTCCCAGATTTTCTGAGTTCCCTTTAGTTCTTTGTCTAGGGTTGATGCCCCATGAGCTGTACCCCTGGGCTCCAGTATGGTATGTTCATTGGTATCTTCCTTGTTCAGCTCAGTTTTTGGTGGTTGTGTTGGTGAGAACTTATGGCTATAGCTTCTTTTGTTACTAGCAGACACATTCTCCTACTATGTTTCTCTGGCTCTTACTATGTTTCCACCAACTCTTCCACAATGATCCCTGAACACCAGGTGGGGAAATTGTAAATGTATCCAATGAGACTATGCTCCATAACTGGATTTTGAATGGTTATGGTTTTCTGTACTGTTCTCTGACTACTGCAAGAGGTTTCCTTGCTGGTAGTGAAGGCTACACTTATCTGTGTATAATAACCAATAATTACAGATTGTTGTTAGTAAATTAGTGGTTGTAGATTTTCCTCCAGTACTAATATGTAATATACACATTATTTGTTTTTATATCTACCAAAAGTATAAGTACAGTATTACATATAAAAGTACATGTGTAATTAATGATAAATATTAAAGGTAGGAAATTACATGTAAAATATTTCCAAGCACAATAGTTTTTGTGTATTTTCAAAAATATTTGCACATTATTATCTGACTATTTCATCGGTTACTTTTCTCATTGCTGGAACCCAATACTATAGGAGATGTTAACTTAAGGGAAAGATTTGTGTTGGCCTAGGGTTTGCATGGGTGTAGTCTTACATGGTAATGAAAGCAAGCAGTGGGAGTGTGAGGTCTGTGCTCTCATTGTATCCACAGTCAGTGAGCAGTAAGAGATACATGTGAGCTCAGCTCTTTTTATCTGCTTCTGTGTTTTGTTCTGTCCAGAATCCTGCCCCATGCAGTGTGAATATCCACATTTAGGTTTGCTCTTCCCTCAGTCAAATCTCTCGAAAATACCTTCACAGCAAAGCCCACAAATGTGTCTTCTAGGCAAATCCACACCCTTCAGCTGCATGCTTTAAAGAAATGTAAATGTTAAAATTCAGGTATTTAGTAACACGTACAAATTCTCTCTTTCCATTAGGCAGAAAATGATGAGCTGTGTTCACCTACAGTGACAACTTGTGATCTAATGGCTGCCCCAGTGATTCCAGGCATGAGTAAGGATGTAAATATGGTCTGACCTTTGCTGATGGACAATTAAACCATGGACAGACTAAATGACCTGCTTTGGACTGTCCTTCCAAAAGATGCTTCCGGTTTCCTCTTGAACGCACACTGAGCCCCTGTAGGCCACGAAGACAAGAAGGAGTGTGAACGGGAAGTAATCTTACAATGAGAATTACGAGCACATCTTGCATCTGCCCAGTCCTCGTGTGTCTCTGTTTTGTGCAGAGGTGTTATGGAACTGCTCACCACAGCTCCATCAAGGTGACCAGAAACCAAACCAAACACACTGAAGGGGAGACAGAAGTCCACCATCGTCCCAAGAGGGGATGGGTATGGAACCAGTTCTTTGTTTTAGAAGAACATATGGGACCAGATCCACAGTATGTTGGAAAAGTAAGTTCATCTTGATTCATTTGGAATTGCTTGTTAGTTTTTCATCTCTTGAGAAATCTTGTGGTGAGAGGAAAGGGGACCTGGATATTAAATTGAAGAGATAAGAAGCATGCTGCACATATTATAGAAAGCTGTTTCTTAGCCTGGAGAACTCAAAATATTTGTGAAATACAGGAACTATCCTTCAGGTTAAATCTATTATAAAAGTGATTCACACATACTGAATTATGCTTCTCCCTGCCCCCAATGCTACTTTCATTTTCCCTCTAATGAAAGTAGATTTATTGGGCATGCAATTAAGTATGTTTGTCTTTGTTATCAGAAAGGTAAACTAAAATGCACAATTGTTTTGAAAGGTCTATCACTGTTGACTGCTACTTTGTTTTTTTTTCTGGCTCATGGATATGGTGTCAAGATAATACTTGACCTCCTAACATTTACTATTTATTTCACTTATTAAGATGTATACTTAAATCAGCTTTATAATTTACATGAACATGATGTCTAATATCTATCAATAATTTAAAATACTTGTTGCTTGTTTTCTGTAAGTATTAAATATTCTTGAGATGCTGGTAAACATCATGGAAGAACATAGTTAGCAGATTATTAATAATTTAAGATCAACTTCCCATTTCTTAAAAATAGAGTGACATGTCAACATTTTGAGGAATCCTTGTGTTCATTATATGGAGCAAATTAACCATGCATCACCTCAGTTCTAGAACAGAATGCAGTTGGAAAACTAAATTCTGATTAATTTCTGATTTGTGGAAGTAGCTGTACTTACGTATGGTTAACCCCCACCCAACAGATGGATAGCGCAGAGGTTGGATAACTGACTACAGCCTCAGCTTCTTCCTTTTCTCTGAGTGACAAGTTTTTTTTTTTTTTTATTACTACTGATGAAAGCAAAATAGTTCTTGATCCAAACCATGGAACTTCCCTTGCATGTAGGCTGTGCAGGATCACAAGCAATGACATGCATGGCCTGTCAGGGATTTGGATACAGCTGTGGTATTTGTAGTGCACAGAATTTGAGGGGTCAGTGTACAGAACACAGAAAAGGAGCCAAAACAATTTGACAATATTCACATATGCATACCAAAATGAAACAAATGATTCATCTGCACTGTGTGTTTTTACCCTGCAACATGCTCTATGGGGTGATAAATGTATGAACATTAAATCATAGTATAATGGATTATAAATGATTTATTTGTTATACACTCCTCTTTTCTATAATCCTTTAGTTTTTAAAATGGAGGCAAAACAAAAGAAACAGGAAAATTGATCTTTGATGGTAAAACAATATAAAGACATATTATATATTTAACATTTATTTTACTATATATGAAATGCATATTTGATGTCAATTTAAATAAGTGTGAAAATAATTAAATTTTCTGGAAGAGGGAAGGAAAAAGTAGGATTATTTTTCACTTCTTCTTAGGCATAATTAGGCTGAACGAAGATGATGCCTTAATGAAAGGACTCATCCTAAGCTATTTTTTCAGACATGGTGCCCATTGACTTATGGTTGAAATTTTCTAAGTGTTAAGGAGGGTTGAAGGCTCATGGTGCTACCTACCAATTGTTGGTGTTTTAATTAAAAAATTTATGGATAAAGGCTGACACCAAAGGATGCGGCCAATTATACACTCAACATCATTTATTCAGTTGCATACTATCAATGGATGTTTGGCCACAATGATGGCAGAATTGAGTAGCTGCAGAACAAAAAGGAAAGAAACTTGAAAATGTTCAGCATTGCTGTTTACAGAAAATATTTCTAAGTCAGGCTTTGGGTGCAGTGAATGCACAGAAGAGGGTTCTTAGCGATTTCTCTTTACATGAGGGATCTATCCCCGGGCTTGGTAGCAACATCAATAGTTAGGACAATTAATGGAAATGATGAAAACAAAAATAGTTCTAATGAGTGGCTGTGTTCTTCAACAAGAGAGAGTTTGAGAGGTTATTGCCAATTTCACCGCTGTCCCTAAATTCCCATATTAATTTGGCAAGTGCTAAGGAACTAATGTTGTCTATGTTTGCTACTATTATGTGAAATTATGAAATGAATATTATGTGGAGTCACAAGTTAATATAAGTGCACAAAAATATCTTTCTGAAGTGGGTTTTTAATTCATTAATAAATCAAATGTGGTATAACTCTGTAGATCTTCCTGCTTGGGGGTCCAGGGTTTTAACCTTTAATGGTAATAGACAGAAGTGGCTGTCTTGGCAGGTAAGCCGCAGATAAAGTTACAGGGTGTGGAAATTTAAAAAAAAAACAAAAAACATTGGGATTTTTAAATGGAGACCTCTGTGTATCTTTCAATAGCATTTTGTTTTCTGGGTATAAAGTAGGTAATATTTCACTATGTTTGGATGATAATATTTTTAATTACTTGGTTTCTTCTTTTGTATTTTTTTCTTTTTGGTGTTGCCTTTTTGAAAATAGATTATTTTGGCATAATCTATGTTTTCCTATGTTTAACCTCCCTCTACTTCTTCCAGTTGCATGTTAGTTCTCCCCCATATTGATCCATCCACTTTCAGTCTCTCTTTAGAAAACAATCAAAGTTCTAAGGAATAATAATAAACTAAAATATAATAAGAAAAGCTAATATATTAAGCTCATGCACATATGTTATTATCTATATAATATATATTGATGCCTCTTAATTTTTTCTTTAAAATTTCCTATCTATTTATGTTGAAATATGGTCATACCCACCTCTCCTTTCACCTCACCCACTTCTGTATCACCCTCAAGTCCTCCTACCACTTTCATCCTCTGCCTCCTCCTTCTCATAATATGCTTCTGCCTTCAGGGCCTACTGAGTCCAATGAGTGCTCCCTGTGTTTGGACATCTATCTCAAATTAGCAATGCTAAAAGTTGGGGTAATTATAGTTGATATGTACATAGGTTTGTGGCCATATGCATGGTCATGGGAAACCCAGCCACCCTCTTAAACAAGAATTATTCCTCTTCCATTAGCAGATGTCATACGCCAATGGATCCTTGACAATTTAAGTTAGGTATGGGGGCTGGCAAATATTCTAGATGGAATTTTATTGTCTTGATCTTGTATAGGTCTTACACAGGTAACCACGGAGTTCATGACTAAGATATCCATGCCAGGTCCAGAGACAGCATTTCATAGAGTTTCTCATTCTTTTGCTTCTTTTATGTTCCAAAATGTTCCTGAGCCTTGCAGGTGTGATAAAGATACACAATTTAATGCTGTACATTCAGTCTTTCATTCTCATAACTTTAGCCAGTTAAATATCTCTCCATTGACCCCCTCCCACTACAAAAAGAAGCTTATTTCACTGAAGTTCAGAGAAGCCCAGGTCAATATTTTGGGTATAATATTTAAAAGAAAACTTGAGAACATCACCATTTAGCAAATTCATAATAGCAAATACTATTCTAGAGTCTGTGATATCTTGTCATGGGGTTTAACCATTATTAAAGTGCCAGGTTTGAAATTCCTTCCTTTGCAACAGTCATCAAATATAATGAGAAAGCTAATAAGTTTCCCCATAACAATCCTGTCATTACTGCACAAATGAGCAGATCTTGCCAGACTGGTCAGTTTTTTCTAGTTTGGAGGGTCTAGTTTGGGATCAGACATTGATTGGATTAGGTTTTTTTTTTTTTCTTTTCTTTTCTTTTATTTCTTAGCAGCCCATACAGCAACTTGAGAGCTAGCTCTCAAGGATGAATTTTCCTCATCAATTGAAATTACTGTCTCTAAGCCATACACCCAAAAGATGTGGCATCTTCACCAATAAGGTCTTACAATGATACTGTTGTTGGTAATCAAGGTCAATGCCAATAGCCTGTGTTGTTTGGAGACTTCTGAGGTCTATCTAACCAGGAACTCATAAAAAGGTTTCCTATGCCTTGCACTGAAATTTAACAACCCATCTCTTCTGGGAAAAAATTTGTTCACTTTTGCCAGGTAATTTTGTTCACACTCTTTTTAAGGTCTATTTTGAAATTATCTTACTAACTAGTAAGTTTCCACAAGGCGCCTACCTATACTGTTAATTTTGATTAAGACTCACCACTCTGTTTTCCTTTTCACCTTATCTCTTCAATACATGGACTTCCGGTACTCTCTCTTCTTCTCTGATGTCACATGTACTCTGCTCTATGTCCCATAATACTTTTTTATTATGTTGACAATAGGAGGCATCAGCATAACTTTTATGCACACTTCCTTTAAGTTACCCTTATCACCCTACTGACTCCAATTTTTAAATGCCCCTTCCTGCTTAAACCTTACCAGCTCTTGGGTTCTAACTACCTACTTTTGTTATTACTATAACCTATTATCCCCATTTTTATTGTCTCCCATTGTACTTGTTTCTACTTATGGTCCCAGTTAAACACACAAAAGATGTGAAGCTAGGATCTGAATATGAGAGAGACCATGTGTTTTTTTTTTTGTGTGTAAAGTATTGTGTTAAGATATATTACATTTGTTTATGCTGTGGAGCATTTGTTTGATGATGCAAAGATGTGTCATATTCTTTTATGTTGCATTTTTTTAAAATTCTGTGAAGCTGTGTTACTTTGCCTTTCTAAAAGATCTGATAGGTCTAATAAAGATCTTAATAGCCAGTAACAAGGCAGGAGAAAGAATAGATGGGGCTGTCAGGCAGACAGGATAAATAGAGGAGAAATCTGGGAGGAGAGATCAAGGGGTGAGGAAAAAAGGGGCCAGCCACCTAGCCACCTAGCCACCTAGCCACCTAGCCACCTAGCCACCTAACCACACAGGCAGCCATGAAGTTCAGAGTGAAAGTAAGATTACAGAAGAAAGAAAAGGAAAAATCCCAGAGGCAAAATGTAAGTGGAATAATTTAAATTAAGAAAAGCTGGCTAGAAACAAGGCAAGCTAAGGCCTGGCAGTTGTAAGCAAGAATAAGACTCCATGATATTTATTTGGGAGCTGGGTGGTAGACCCTCCAAAGAGCAAAG